TATATATATATATATATATATGATGTTACTCCACATTTGTAGTGACATTGCATGATGATTTAAGATAAGTCACAGCTCACAGCGTAAAAGCAAATCAAACATCCCACAGACTTATTTATTTATATCACACACACAGACACACGATAAAGGATCCACTTTGACCGCTTAGTCTAGTTTTAAGTGATCAGTCTTGTAAACAGAAAATCTGCTACCGCAAAGAAAAAAAAACCTCTGACGTAGATTTCAAATAATGCATAGAAATTTGGTCAGTTAGGTTAAAATCTAATATTTCTTAAACAAAGAGTGACATCATTCTAAGGTGCATAAAACTAAGCTATAAAAAAATTATTGACATAAGGTTTGGAACTTATTCATTATTATCTTCTTATATTGCTGCTTGATATATCTTAATTTTTTCAAAATTTACTTTAAGAGTTTTATTTTAAAAAGCTCATATTTTAAGTAATTAAGTAGTTATAGTAGTGCAAGCAAAAAAAAAAATCTTATTAATTTCTTGTAAAACATGCACACCATTAATTTCCTTTCTTTTTCCATTTTCTTTTTATTTCAATTTTTTCCTTTTATTGCATTGGAGAATATCTGAGTGCAGCCTGCACTGATGAGCTTATGGTTTTAAGAGTCAAAGGTTTAAAAGTCAGTTCACTTTATGTATGTTTTCTTACAGCTTTCCTGAAAAAAGAGCAAAGTCATGAAAAATGCAATAATTGTGTTTATTTTAAAACTGCGGCCTGTCGCTGCTCCATCAGGAGAGAAGCTCGCTCGGGAAACAAAACAAAAAGACAAAGAGCAGATATTCAATAACTTCCTGTGAATGTGTTAATGTGTCGACAGATAGCTGATAAAACTTCGGCCGTGCTCTCATGAACATTCGCCTGGTCTTCCCTGTGCTCCCTCTGCGGCCGTTTCAAGTGTTGCGTGTGGCAGTGATATCCTCTTTTAGCTGCTTCTTTGCCCTTTATGTTTTTAGTGAAATTATGCTCCTATGTTTCTTTAAATCTTTTTTTCACAATATGAAGTGCTTCATCATCTCAATGACTTCAAGTCAAATTTTTGTCGTTCAACCTCCGTTTTCACTACCTCCTTACAAAAACTTTTTGGTTTTTTGCTCCCTCCCTTGAACATACTTTAGCCAGTAGATGACAGTTAATGTGGAAACTCATGCACAGTCTTGATAACAGGCAACCAGCAGGCGTAGGAAGTGATTCAGTTATATTTATTTTTACTTTTCACTCTGGTTTTTTGCCACTTAGTTGTGTGAATTTTTTTTCCCTCACATTTAAACATTTTACTGTTGACCTTGTGGATCAGTTTCAGTTTTGGCTTTCCAACAAATCAGTCTTCAAACAAGCTCTAATAATAATCAAATCTTTGTCACTCCGACTTTGACAGCTCTGGAACAGAGAGGGGGGGGGGACTTGCATCTAATCGCGCTTACTAGAAAGCAAAGAATTGCAACAAAGGCTGAAAGTTTATTGATATTCCACTGTGAAAAGAGAAGTCCTGTGAGATTTACCTGGCTCTGACATTTTTAGCACGACAAAAGTCCCACAAGTAACACCAGTAATTTCTCTCTCCCTTTTTTTTCTAAGAAGGAAGAAGGTGATTGGCACGTGCTGGAAGGTACTAAAAACAGCTCGGGGCAGTTTATGTTCTTTACCTGTCACTACAAGGTGTTTCATAATTGACGTCTGCAACAACATTTATCGCACTCATCTCTACTGCAATAACCATTATGAAAATATATATTTTTTGATTTGAGTAGTTTACAAACAAAAGTCAAATCATTAAACAGTTCCTTTTTTTCGTTTTGTGTCTCTAAAAACAGAGGAATAGAGCGAACTCAAAACTTGTTTAGTTCCAATCTCAAAGCTAAAGAGATGAACAAAATTCATGTACAAGCAAAAATCAGAAATGACTAGTTTTCCTTTGTTTGTCTCTGATCAGTGATCGGCAGCTCAAAAAATGAAAAAATACATTTAAAATTTAAAACTCTCCATTTTAAGTCTTTAAAACCCCGGTTTTACCAACATTTAGTAAAAAAAAAAAAATCCTTTGATGCATGAATGGTAATAATGTAACTCCTTGCGTTTCTGCTGGACTCCAGACAACTAACAAACCTGCAGCATGTATTTGCCCTTTAATTTGCAAAAATCATAAAAAACAGAAAAACTCTAAAGTCAAAATCTAAATTCTTAGCTCAGACCCAAAAGAAAATTGGAAATAGATATCTGCCTGAAAAAAAAAAACAGATCTGTGCAACCTGAAATAAATCAATCAGTACTTATGATCGAATTATTATTTTGCATAAAACATTTTATTGAATTTTGTGTCAGAGCTTTACAAATGACCAACTTAAGAAACATTAAAAATTTTACCATAGTTGTCTCAGGTTAAACAAATGATTAAAATGTTCTATTCATGAATATAAAATTTTATAAATAAAGCTTCCTTCCTGATCTCAGTTATCTGTGTAAAAATGTTCACATTTAATTCCAATGCACTACAGAACTCTACAAGTATTTATTTACTCTGATTTGCATTTTAAGATAAAAAAAAAATTGTTTACAAGTATATTTTTTATGAGATGCTCCGAGCAATAGGGACAGTCAAAAAAGTATTTTAAAGAAGCTTTAATGTGACTAATAAAGGAAGAAATTGAAGGTGTCAAACCTTTGGCTTTGCTATTTCTTTTAACTCTTTAAAATAGAAAATTTTATTTCCTCAGAAGCAGCTAGAAATGCAATAGATTGTGAATCTAAAGGTAGAATAGTGTCTAACAGGTTGGGCTGTAGAGTGAGGACAGTGGGCATCATTTCCCATGATATTGGTTGGCAATAAAATTAGTTTAAATGAAGTGCGTAAGTATATATTTTCACTTTTTTAGAGGTGTGGATATTGTCGCGCTGCCAGTAACTGTTATGCTATTTGCCATACAGGTAGTCGTCAGACGCTGTTTAATTTATGTTGAGAAATTGACAAATGAGTTATGACACTGAGGCTGTTTCTCTTGGGAGACAGAAGTGGAGACTGATGGAGCACGAGAGGAGGTACAGGAGGCAACATGAAATAAAGAAAAGAACAAATAAAAGGACAAAATTGACTGCTTACTTCCTGCTCTGGAAACAAATTGGTTGCTAATAGCTACCATTTGTGCTTTTGGAATCACAGAGACTTTTAAAAGCATACATTTTGTT